GAGAGAGAGAGAGAGAGAGAGAGAGAGAGAGAGACAGAAAGAGAAGAGAAACAGGGTTAATTAAGTTTGTGTTTGTGCGTTCGGGGAGGGGTTGGGGTAGGATTGCAAATGAGAGAAAATAAAAACAAACCAAATGAAGAGATGCACCTCTAATAAAGCTACCATAATCAAATGTGACGATAATTTCATCCTCAGATTGGACTCCAATTTCTCTGGGCTCTCTAATAATTGTTACTTATCGAAACCTTCACGCTTTTATGTCTGTTTGTGAACGATAACATAAGGCAGACAGATTCTTTCCTTCGACGTTCTGTCGATCTGGTGCCACCCCCTCCCTTACCCCCTCCCCCTCCACTGGTCGCCATCTTTCTCGGTGAACCGCATGGGGGCGCCTTTTTCCAGCGCTCCAAACAAACAGGGAGACAGAAATCGGAAACTTTGGCGTCGGAACTTTTTATGGGCAGAAATTATAGAATTAGAGAGTATCTTGACAAACTTGTTATTTGCTTTGAATAAGCTCGTTTTTGGCTTTTGTGGCTCTGCCGTCGGAGAGCTAATTGGATCTGGAGTCTGTGACAGATGAAGGGCGGCCAGGAACAATACTGACGAGGGCTCTCATATTCTCGGGCGTCGGGTCCCCCCACGGGCTCGCTAGCCGAGACTTGGAGCCGAACAAGGCAGATGGGGGAGAGACGGCGCCACGACTCCGCGCCACCTTGGCTTCCTGGGCCTCTAGCTGGGCTGCTGGGGCAGACAGACAGGAGATAAAGTGAGGGCAGAGGGACACAGGTAGAGGTGGGCAAAATCCGGATAAATATCCGGATAATCGGATAATCCCCAAAAGAAATTATCCGAATTCAGACTCTTTAACTCTTTTTCCTGACCCGTTTGCCGAAGTTGATGCACCCAATTGTTGAAGTGGTGCTAACCCGTTTGTCAAATAAAGTGGTTCTAACCCATTTGGCGAAGCAGTTCATAAAATATTTTTTGCCAAAGCGATGCACTAGCATATTATCCGGATTTTACTAAAGCGACTCATTGCCCAGCCGTAGACACAGGTATACACAGAGTAGTAGACACAGAGCGCCGCAGCCAGTCAGGTAAGGTAGGGGCGGAGTGTTCGCAGGTTTTTGCGCGCCGGCGAGACTGTCGGGCTGGGCGGAGAGAAGAATGGCGCGGCCCTGATCCTGATGGTCGGTGCGCACGGGTTCGAATGACTGGCTCGCTCTTTCGATTGTGTGAAAAGAATTTGGAAGGATTTTGAGAGTAAGTGGGGTTGTAGGAGTGATGGGAGAGAGAGAGAGAGAGAGAGAGAGAGAGAGAGAGAGAGAGAAAGAGAGAGAGAGAGAGAGAGAGAGAGAGAGACTACCTACTATCATAAATAGCTTGACTGTTACTCCTAGGAAAGTTCTACGTCTAGAACCTTGACTTGACGCAGCATAAAATTCTTTTCTGTAGGTGAAGTGGAGGAGAATTAAGGAATCAGTTGGATGATGTTTAAGGGAACTATAGCAAGTACCTTAGTGCTAGTCTTAAAGCTACTGAAGGAAAGTTTTCCCGAAACATTGTGTATTGTTCTTTGTGCTTTTCGTGTATGTGTGTGTGTGTGTGTGTGTGTGTGTGTGTGTGTGTATATGTGTGTGTGTGTGTGTGTATGTGTGTGTGTGTGTTTGTGATATGGGGTGGTATCTTGTTCTGTTTTGTTTTGTGGTGTTTTATTGTTGTATTTTGTGTTGTTTTTGATAAACTGCCAAACACCTCGATATCTACATAAATTGGTTCGTGAGGTTAACCCGATCAGAAAGCTATGCACGCTAAGCGGTTTTTTATGCGATGGGGACTATGCCTTGGGTAAGACATTTATGGCAACAGCTTTACAAGGAAAGGAATTTGGAGTTGATTTAGGTTCAATTATTATTTGAATTAAAACGAATAAAAACGCACGCATACTCACAAATACAGCACAATCTCAATACCGCTGTATGTGCACTTTGTGACGTCACACGGAAAGTACGCAGCAACAGCAACAACAACAGCAACAACGACAACAACAACAACAAACTAACATTAATTGATATGAGAGCAGTATTGAAAACAGTTTACGTTTCACTGAGACTTCAAAAATTATAATGGCCTTTTTTTTCTTTTTTGATGGACCACAACACGAACTTTGAACTTTGACCGTTTAGCTTACTCCTTAACTTCACTCCCTACGAGGTCAACGAAGTTTCTAAATTACGCTCGAACCGCAAGCTGTCCTAATTTGAAAGGAATGCAAAACGCCTTCTTCTTCTGACTGACTGAAAACACCATCATCACCATTATTTCCCCGAGGTTTGACCATAGCGTGATGCACTCATTACTACAAGTATCGTCCATAAATTAGTGAGGCCAATTGCGTTTCTCTTTTGCCCCGAAGGTAACATCTGTTTCTCCGACACAAGTCTCCACAAA